GTAAGTTTCAGAGCTGGGCTGAGTTCTTGAACTGCTCTGGGTTCCAGGCTTGGGCTGGGTCACAGGGCTGAGCTGAATCCTGGAGGTGGGCTGAATTCTTGCACTGGGCTCAGTCTCTGAGGTGGGCTGGGTCTCAGGTCTGAGTTGCGTTCCAGAACTGATCAGGGTTCTAGAGCCAGGCTGGGTTTCAGAAACAGGCTGGGTTCTGGAATCACTCTGGGTTTCCAAGTTGGCCTGTGTCTCAGGGCTGGAGTGAATCGTGGAGCTGGGCTGGGTTCCAGAGATGGAGTGAATTCTTGAACTTAACTGGGCTCCAGAGCTTGGATGAGTTCCAGAGCTGGTCTGCTTCCCAAAGTCCGGCTCAATACCAGAGCTGCCTTGGGCTGTGGCCTGGAGCTGGTATCTAGAACTTGGTAGGGTTTCCGAGATGAGCTGAGTCCCAGAAGTTGATTGAGCTCCTGAACAAGTCTGGGTCCTGGAGCTGGGCCTGCTTTCAGAGCTAGACAGATTTGTGGAGATTACATCTGTTGCTGCATTGGTCTGGGTCCCAAGGCTAGACTGGATTCCAGAGTTTAGCTGGATTCTGGAACTCAGTGGGGTCTCAGCAACTGACTGTGTTTGGGAGCTGGAAGGGATTTCAGACCCAGTCTGTGCTTCAGAATTGAGTTGAGTTCTGCAGCTGGGTGGAGCGCCTGAGCTGGACTGAGCTCTGGAAATTGCCCAGGTCTTAAAATTGTGCTGGGTCCCAGAGTTAGATGGCATTCTAGAGCTGGTCTGCGTTCCGCAGTGAGAGCGGGGCTCGGCATCAGGCTGAGCTCTGGAGGCAGGCCTTGCCTCAGAAATGGATGGGGTTCCAGAGCTTGTCTGAATTCTGGAGATGGGCCTGGTTATAGCACTAGGGTGGGGTCTAGAACTGGACTCAGTCTCTGAGCTGGACTCATCACTGGAAGCGGACCAGGCCCCAGGATGGGGGTGGGTACTTGAGTGCAGTTGGGTTTTAGAGCAGGGCTGGGATCTGGGTCTGGACTGAGCTGCAGCATGCATCTGGGCTCGTGAGCAGGGTTGGGTTTGGGAGCCATCTTCCAATCCTGAACTGGTGTGGCTACTGTTGCTGGACTGTTTCTGGAGTCTGAACTGGGCTCCAGAATTAATGGGAGTTCCTGAGCTAGACCGGGTGTCTAGATACGGCTGAGTCATGGGGTTGTCTTGAGTTCCAGCATCAGACTGAGTTTTATGGAAGGGCTTGGTCATAGATCTGGGCTGGCTTCCAGAACTGGGATTGATCTCAGAGCTAGGCTGTGTCTTAAAACTTATCTGGGATTCTGACCTTAACTTGATTTTGGAGCTTGGTTTAGCTTCAGAGCTGTCTTGGGTTCTAGGAAAGGGCTGGGTTTTGGAGCTGGGTTGGGTCTCAGAACTAAATTGCATTCTAGCGATGAACTTTGTCTCAGGGTTGGCCTGGGGTCTAGAACAGGGCTTGGTCTCAGAGCTAGACTTAGTCTCAGAACTGAGCTTGGTTCTAGAGCAAGACTTGACCTCAGAGTTGGGCTTGGTCTCAGAACTGGTAGGGGTTCTAAAGGTGAACTTGGTCTCAGGGCTGGCCTGGGCTCTGGAGCAGGGCTGAGTCTTTGAGCTGGGTTGGGTCTCAAAAGTGGATTGGGTTGCAGAGATGAACTCAGCCTCAGAGCTGGCCTGGAGGCTAGAGTAGGGCTCGGCCTCGGAGCTGGGATTGGTCTTGAAATTGGTAGGGGTTCTAGAGGTAAACTCGGTCCCAGAGCTGGCCTGGGCTCTAGAGCGAGGCTGGGTCTCAGATCTGGGCTGGGCTCTGGTGCAGAGGTGGGCTTTGGGAACTGGCCAAGAGGGCTGGGGCAGGGGGCTGGGCTCTGGGCTGGGGCTGCGCTTGGCCCCAGCGCAGACTAGCCACAGGCCTCCCTGGCCTCGCCTATGGCGGCCCACACCTCCACCACAAACTCGTCCGGGAAGGCGAACTCGCCCAAGACGGAATCTAAACGGTGTGCAAACTCCTGGACGCTCAGCGTCTTCTTGGAGGTGTCCACCATGGTGGATGCTGCAGGCCAAGCAGGAGGGAAGGCTGGTGAGGGTGCTCCTTGGGCCTCAACTTCCCCCTGGGGCCTCTGACTCCTCCCTGTGGGCTGTCCTCCCCCCAGGGTCCACCTGGCTTACCCTGGCCCCTTACCCAGCTCTGGGTCCCGAATGCCCATGTAACTCTCCAGCAGGTCATCCACCCTCCGTGATGCCTCCTCCTCAAATTCGCTGGGCTGGTGGGGGCGGGGGGGGGGAACAGCAGAGGGTCAGAAGCCTGGGATCCCTCCAGCCCAGCCCCTCCGCAGGCCCCGCCCCTGCGGCGAGAGCAGAGCCGGGAGTCAGCACTCTGTGCCAGCCCTCCCGTCCTGCCTTGCATCGAGGACCCATTTTGCGGGGAGGGGAGCAGGCTGGACGAAGGAGTGTCTTACCCAAGGTCCCACTGAGTCAGCTGAATGCTTGGTACAAGAGCCCCTGAAGACTCCCTTCCCCTTCACTCACCACCTCCTCCACTGAGGCAGCCCCCCC